CATTATCACAATAACAGCATGGGAGAAACCACCCCCAGGATTCAGTTACCTCCACCTGGTCCCACCCTTGACACATGAGGATTACGGGGATCACAATTCAAGGTGAGATTCAGGTGGGGACACAAAGACAAAACATGTCACAGATAATAGCTGCTTTTCAAAAGTGGTGTATCTGGCAGTCTTGTCAGGAAGTAGAGGAGTCCAAAACCCCAAGACACCCCAGGTGAAGATTGCTTCCCATTTCCGGAAATAGCAATTGTAAAATCATCAGTTACAGATACTTATATAGCTCAAAGTTATCATTACAATTGTAGGGCTCCAAAGGTAGAGAACATGACACAACTTACTGGACTGTTTTCATGGCAGAACTTCATTTCAGGCTTTACTCAAAAGATGCTGATTTGTGGGTTAGCTAATATAAAGGACCAAGCAGAATGTCCAAGCAATCACAAAGCATTTCCAATATCCAAAGAATCTAGTTAGTTGCTGAAACTCCTTTTTGGTGGTGGGGGTGCTGAAGAGACAATTTTTCTTTGCCTGAGGTTTTATTGTGAATTTTCCTACATACTTCCAGGAAACATTACTGGCAAGCAAGAGACATTACTGGCAAACAACATTACTCTTGAATTTTGGCAGTGATTTTCAATATTAATCCTGATTTTTTTTTTTTTTTTTTTGGAGACTTTCAGTCATTCTTCCTAGAGGATGTGTGATAATACCACAGCTAGGTAGGGCTATTGAGACTGAGACTTCTTACTGCCAACCATCAGGACATCATGTATAGTGAAACTTTTGGAAATCTGAATGAAGAAGAACTTGCCCCAAATTCTAACCTATTCAATTTTGGCAAGTGGCACTGGAGTTTAGGTAACACTGGCGGAGTACAACAAACATGTATTAGAGGCCTTGTCACATGAATGTGAACAGATCTTAATTCTCAGATGCTAATATGGGAAAGAAAGTGTTGTCAATGTTTAAAACAGTGCACCATGTTCTATTAGTCTGTGTCTTAGATTCGTATAGAGTCAAGATGTCTGCAACAGCTGGGGCCATTGGAGAAACAACTGACTTTATTTGAAAATATTCCACTATCATTCTTCAACTCCTGTTAGATTTTGCACTGGGCATACAAGGCTGTTCTGTAAAGATCCTGCATCTCTTACTACTGCCTCCTATAGGTACTAATATTTACTCAGGGCACAGATTTTCTTTTTTCTTCCTAGAATTCTATGCTTTGTGTTGGATCAGAAAGCGCAGAATGTGGGAGAGACAGGAAAGCTGGTGACAGATAAATTTATGTGTCCCACTAGTACTTATCTATGTATAGCTGAATTTCATCTGGCACTTATGAAACAGGGAAATACAAGCATCAGTTCCCAGTGATATTCAGATGTGAAGGTAGCAGCATCAGTATGCTGAATTAGCCTAAAAAGTTTTGTTCACAAGGTCATACTGGCTTCTTTCTTTCTCCTGCTGTAAACCTGGCCAAACCCTGTTATCTAATTTGGGATGCTTTCTCCTTCCAGGAGTCCAGTAGAAGAGTTTACTTGGGCACCCATATCTAACAGAGCCATAAAAGCTTGATTCTTTCCTTCATGAAAATTCTCTGACCTACTAAGATGGATGCATATGGAACTTGATCTCCATTAAGGACAGAGATCACTTGCCCCGTTTCTAATGATTTTTCTCCTTATGGCAGCTGTGCCTGAGAAAGTAGAGACAGAGCTGCACTGTACCATTAGCAAGGCTTAGCATTTACTTTCGATTCTGTGTGGCATAATGGCTGCTTGTGTCTCAAAACAATAAACTTCCAATGTTTTTGGCTGACTCAATTCTCAGTATCAGGCAACAAAGTCCTACATAATAGCTAGGGGAGTTATCCAGAGGGGCAAAGCTAATAACAATAATTTATCAATGAGACTCAGGGTCGGTTTCTCATTGTTAGAGATCACTTCATCAGTATTGTATACCCAATCAAGGCATTGAGTATAGAGCCCAATTCTGTCATCTATGGTTTTCACTGGGAATTTGTTTCTCTTAAGAAAATCTTCAAAAGAAGACTGGAAAAGGTCGTGCTGTCCTTGATTGATATTTATCTTCTACACAGTATTATCAAATAGGAAAACATGCAGGGTATACCTGAAAACAGCCAGATCCAACTAATTTTCACCATGTCTACTACCACCAGGATACTGAAACCCACCATTATCGGTTACCAAAATAATTGGAATATCCTACTAATTATTCTCCCTTTATTCATCATATACTAATAAAAACTATTCTCCAAGTTGTCAGAGTGATCCTGTAAAACTAAGACAAATCTTGTCTCCCCTCCACTATCAATACATGGATGGGTCTCCATCACATTCCATGTAAAAGCCAAATTGCATTTTGAAACCTACAGGGCTATAAGCTGTCTGCCTCTCTCTCTCATCCCCATTACCTCTCTGAAACCAGCTCCTGCTTTTCTCTGCCTTGCTCACTCAGCTCCAGACATGATAGCATCCTCCTTGCTCCTCAAACATGCCAGCCTAAACCTGTCTTGGGGCCTCAGCACCTGCTGTCCCTCCATCTGGAATGCTCCTTCCCCAGACAGCTACAGGGTGAGTTCTCCCACTGCCTTCAGGTGAGACTCAAAAGCCAAGTTCTCAGTAAGGCCTTCCCTGGACACCTTATCTATCTAGTTTCAGCCTCCCTCCTGAAATTTTCTATCCCAATTCCTTGCTTTATATTTTTCTATTTAACACTAGTCACTATGAATACACATTATAATTGCTTATTCATTTTGGCTACTGTCTATCCCCCACACTAAAATGAAAGCTCCATGAGGATAAGAATTTTGGTTTGCTTCTTTCATTCATTATTACATCATCAATATCTGTGCCTAGAAGAATGCCTGGCAGAGAGCCCACCTGAAGTAAGTATTTGTGGGGTAAAGATAAAACAAGTAAATTAAAAAGCAAATGGGATCAAAGCAAGTCAAAGGGGCAGTGTTTCCAGGGTGTAGCCCCAGTCACAAGTGCAAACGCTTCCAGGGAACAACTGTGCATTTTATTAGAGTGAAGCAGGCCAGCTGGGGGTGTGGCCAACTGGAGAGGGTATTCGGAGTATACACTGGACTGAGACCTACCTAAGGCCCAGCTGCATGTATCCTTGTTGGAATGAGGGCCCCAATCCTCACGTTGTTGTTGTTGTTGTTGTTGTTGTTGTTGTTTGTAATTGTTCTGTTTCACTTTCAGGAGATGCCAGAAACATAAATTTTCATTGTGTGCAATCTCTCAAATGTCTAAAGTACTTAATTAAAAACAGAAAACAATGAAAACACAAAGATGAAACAAAATCTGGCAGCTGACTGAGATTGGTCCCTGGGCAGTCAGCTGGTATTTGTTGGACTGAATTGTGTGATGTATACATGAAAATTAATCCCTGCTACGGTGAGGTAGGCTTGCCTTGTGTAATTCTTGAGGCAGTCAGCCTCAGGCCATGTTGGGTGCAGAGAATAAACTCTATTTACCATCTTCTTTCAACTCCTGACAGCTCCTTGCATCTCCCACTATCCATGGAGTTAGGGTAACCTGGGCAGCAGGTGTCACCAGCACTCTTTCTTTGGGGTCAGAGGTATAATTTAGTGAAGGGTGTGGTTGCAGAAACTAGTGAGAGGGTTTTCAGATGGGCTACAGGAGAAAGACTGGGGAAAGGCAAGGAGGGGAGGAAGAGAAATACACAGATCTATCTTTGCATCAGACACCATAGTTCTGAGGGACTTTTGGTGGGTTGCTGCTCCCTCTCCCCACCAACCTTGACACTTCCTTGTGATACTGTACAGCTGAATGAGTTATACCAAGTCACAACTTCCAGCCCGACTGCCCCATGGCATCTGCCTCACCTGGAAACAAAGAGCTTCACAGACTTCTATCACAGATTTCTGTGAGCTTGGGTAGGCAAGACTGGCCAACAGGTGCCTGTGAGGGGTATGCAGACACCAGCTTTGTGGGGAAGGTCTAACCAGAATGTGGCTTCTTGGGACAGCAGGTGTCTTTTAGTGGGTCATTGGTCGGAGCCACCTATGGTTTCAGGCAGCTGCTGAAAGAAGTGTGGACAGTGAGGCACTCCCCATAACCTAGAGAGAAACACTAGGCTCAATCTTCTGATGCCCCTGGTCTATAGATAGAAAACAAACATTCCAGCAGAAGGAACTGGTGTGATGAGACTGCTGCACCTGAGTTCAGTAAGGTTCCATTTTTTCCTGGATAAAGTATTTTCAAATGCAAGATGGCACATCTCTTAAGTTCTGAGAGCCCCACGAACCCATACTCTACCCAGATTGTTTATCTAGTGCAGGACAAATGTGAGGAGGCAGCCCACAGTCCAGCACATGTGGTGCACCACATTAGTGTGTTTAGGCTGAGGGCTGGGGTTCTGCTGGGTAGCAGCATCCTGAACTCCCTGAAAGAGGGAAAGCTCTATGGTTATAAACTTTGCTCCGGATTAACTTGACTGAGTCATCCCTGTCAGAATGCCATTCTAGGGAACCTCCAATGTATCTGGCATCTTTGACAGATGCCACTTCCTTTGTGCGTAGAGCCAGGAAGAGCAATGTAAACACTACCAGAAGTCCAACATTTTCCTCGGCCTTCCCATCTCTCATGGGCCCCACACCCCACAACTCTTTTCCTGTATTCCCACTCCCTCTGTCAGTCTTTCTTCTTTGAATTCCTCCTTCCTCAATGGCCCTCTTCTTCTAACTGCTCCAACACCCTAACCCACATAGCTTCTTCCTTTGTGTATCCTTTAGGCTCTCCTCAGATCCCTGTCAGGTTGATCCTTCTCCTCTTTACTCTGGATCTCTTCTAAGCTTCTTTGTGTTCCTCTCTACTCAATTTATTCTGTGTATTTTCCTCTAAGCCACAAGATCTCTGACATCTGTTCCTTCCTTTCATGCCCCATTCACCAAACACACCCGATCTTTCCAACAAGACAAAGCGCTTACACACAGCATGTCATATACACACGAGTTTGTATTTTTTAGAGCAAAACAACAGTTAATGCTGGCAAAGATGTTGGGTTATCAGGGATTCCATAAGCTTTCAATACACTGAAAGGCAACATTTTTTGCATGTCTACAAATTATACATTTGTTTCCACACATGTGCCAAATTTTACCCTAACAGTTAGGACTTTTTCACCAAATCATAGACATAGATATGGAAATCATCATCAAACTTGATGAAATACACAGAGGGTTTGGCTTCCACTTGGTGAATGACCATGCCGATCCTTTTGGAGCCATCTTCTTTGGTATATTCCACATGCTTACCTATCAGGCCATCTACAACTCCTCCTGGCTCCCTCTCTGTTGGAGGAGACTCATTGGATTCTGGCATGATGCGGAGGTCACCTTCCTTATAATCATCTAGAAGCTGGTACATGTACAAGACAGGATCTTTCTCATAGGTAATATAAAACCAGGCTTTCATGATAGGTGCTTGAGCTAAGACCATACCCCTCCATTCATCCTTAGAACCATGCTCTCCCTCAAACATGTGTTCCACTGCTTTGCCAATTATGGTATTTGCAAGGTTGGCATCACTAACGTGAGATGATGCCACCCTGTCAGAAAGAATTTTAAGAGACAAAACTCTTTCATCTCTGTGAAGTTCCAGTCCATAAACACAGTCAATTCCATCATATTTCACCAGATAAAGAGAGGGATTTATAGGCACCTGATCCAGAACGGTTCCTTTCCACTGGGTGATGGGCTCATCTCCTTCTTTCCATCCATGAGAAATTCTGCATCCCACGATGTTCCTGCGGGGCTGGGATGAAGGTCTGCCTCTCTGCTTCTTTTGGGAGACTTTTTTCTTTGTCATGTTTGCAGACCCAGTGGCCCGTCCTGCAGCTGCCCTGGTTTGTTGCCCTTCGGCTTCCTGTGCGTTGGGGGTCTTCATGCCTGCTGGGGGAGGAGAGAGGATAGAGAGACATATCCAGTGTGCCACGAGGCAAACTTTTCCCTATAGCCATGTCTGGATATACTCTGCGCTAGTGCCTAAGGTTCCCCTAGGAGCCTGGAAGCAATGCTGGAAATCTGGCTGCATGCCTGCAGTGCTCTCCCTCTTAAGTTCCTTTGGGCTGTGGGGAAAGGCTGGAGTGGTGCAGTAGAGCTGTCTGTGGTTAGGAACTCTGCAGAAGTGGCTGGGCCACGTCCTCCTAGCTCAGAGCCCACTGCCCTCCCCGAACCCCTTGCTGCCACTGGAGTCCACTCCCAATCCCCTGCAAAGCGGCCTTCACCGGCACCCACTGACCTCCTTCCCTGAGTGTCCCAGCTGCTGTCCACAACAAACCCTGCCTACCCTAACCACTTCCCTGATACCCACCGCCCTTGCTTCCTGGAGCTCACCTTCAAATCCTTGTCTGGCTCCCGTTCTTACCCCCTTTTCATGTAGCTCACCGCACTCCCCAACCCGACTTTTGCCTGGCGCCCACCTCCACCCCAGGTCTCCTGCTGGATTCCTTCCCATCCCCCTCTCCATTCTGGCGCCCACTAATGGCCTTGCCCTGCCTGGCGTCCACCGCCGCGGATCGCGGGCCTCACGTGCCCAAATCGGACACCTCGCTGCTGCCTCCGCTATGAGCCTGTGGCGAAGGAGGGTCAGCAGGCGACCGGCCGAGTGAATGCTTGCAAGAGCTGGGAGGGTAGGATCCGTAGATGAGCGTGTCTAGGAGGGCTGCAAGGCAGGCAAAGAGGACTGCAGCGGCGTTGCCACCGCTTGGCTTGCTAGCCCTCCGCCTCCCTGCTGGCGGTGGCGGCCCCTCAGCCACATCGGGATTCCACCAGTCCCTGCTGTCGCCGCCGCAGTCTCCTCCCTCTTTCCGTAGCGCAGCTTCCTGCCCAGAGAGAGGCCTCCTCTTCCTGTCAAACACCGCGCCCTCCTCTCCACCAGGCTCCCACGCCCACCACACAGCCTGGAGCCCTGGAGAAGCTATAGGCTCTGACTCCGCCTCTTCCCAAATTCGGAGTAGTTGGTGCCACAGTAGTCCTCGGAACCCTGTGGCGCCTTCATCACCCGTTTCAGGGCCCCTTGATTCCCACCCCCACCTTCTTAGTCCTCCTGCCCTATCTGCTTTCCATCTTCTTGGAATTCGCCTTGCCGCCGCCCCGCGCCCACACCGCTCCCCCACCCCGCCCCGCGCCCAGTCCCTTGCCCTTATGGATTTATTCTTTACACCTAAATATGTCTTTCCTCTTTTTGAAAGGATTTGGAGTTGGAACAGAGAAATTCACTATGGTAAGTCTGCCGTTTTGACCCAGTCTCTACCTAATTTTTCCTGTCTGATCTTTCCTGACGTTTTTGTTTTTGTTTTTAAGGGATTTTTTCCCTTTTCTTTATTGCAAGATAAGTGCATGTACAATGTGAGCACTATCTAAATTTTGGGAAATTAATATTAAGAGGAAAATCATCAACTGCAGTCGTATCTCCCATTTTTGAGGGCCTCACAGCAAAATATTAATGCTCATAGGTTTTTTTCCCCCTTTTTCCTAAATTTTTGCAAAACTGAGATTGTTTTTTATCTGTAATTTCATGTCTATTAATTTTTCCAGGAAATTAGATGCTTTCTAATCGATTTTTTCATTCAACAAATATTTGTTGAGCACCTGTTACATATCTTGTGCTTGGTCCATAAAACTCAATTTTAAAGTGATTTATAATTTGGCTTTTCTCCCAGTACTGGACATTTGACATAATGTTTCTACAATAATGAGTAATCAGATCTATGTATCGGAATAGAAAGCTTTGCAAAAAATAACTTCCTAAGAAATAATTAGATAAAAGTTATAGTTTTATAAATCAGTGGAGAAACACTGGGTATTCTTTAAGGAATGTTAAAATGATTCTTTAAATATTTTGAGAAAGGTTGTATACTAATGTTGTACCAATATCAATATTTGATTTATTAAAAGGTAAAAAGCAGCCAAATAAAATTGACCAGAAAGCAAATGAACCAACCAAAAACTCTGTAAACAAAACATTGCTTAATGGTATCTTTCTTATTCAGATACTTATGGTATTTGAATGAGGGGATGAGTCGGATGTTAACAGACCAAGTACAGTTAGTAAAATAACGTCTACAAGGAAAAATAGAAATAATAATCTTGATTCAACAAAGTATGAAAGAACATTAAAATGTTACTTAATGTCATTGATCATGAAAAAAGGGGTTCATATCTAGTGCTGATGCAAGTGAAAGTTTATACAATTTTTATGGGAAGCAATTTGCATATATGTTGTAGTTTCAGCGAAGGCTTTTTTAAAGTTATGGTTAACTCTTACTCCTAGGATTTCAACCCTGGAATTTCAATGAAAAGTAAGGGGTTAGGGAGTTACCAAGGTTCTGGACTCCAGATTCTGTATTCATATATTTAACAAGCAGTCACAAGTTCTGTTGAGCATCTAAGTCTTTCAGTGGTTCTCTCTAGAATGGGTAAACTTTCCCAGTAGAAAAACATCCACCAAATGCCCTGTTTGCCTCTTGGATCTGTTCTCCTTCTATCTCAGCTAGATAATTATTTCGTATTTCTCAGCTTTTAGATGCCATTGAGAGCGGATTTTCTTTTTTACTATATTTGTTCAGATTTACTCAATTTGTTCAGATTTTAGGGAAAGTTGTTTTGAACTGTTTAGTCTCCTATTACTAAAATCTCAAACCCTATTTTTTATTATGAAATATATGTGTTCATCCTTAGGATGTATACATTAAATAGGCACAGCTTTGTGACTGTAAATCATACCTCAATAGTGGTTTGAAAAAGAAAAAAATGTGTTTAACTATTTGTAATGACTCCAAACTAAAAAACACCTACATTTCCATCAACCATATACTAGATATGTTGGGGTATATTCATACATTGGAATATCATGCAGTAGTGAGAATATTCAAGCTACAACTACATGGAAAAACATGAATGAATCTCTCAAATATGTTGAAAAAAGAAGCCAGAGAACAAAGGGGCACACATTATTCTATTCAATTTATTTAAAGTTCAAAAACAATCATTAACTAATCTGTTGTCTAAAAAGTTAAAGTAGCAGTTATTCTTGCAAAGATATTTTCCAAATAGACAGCAATTCATACTCTATCAGTAGCTGATCAAAGTAAAAATTAGAGAAATATTTGGACATGTATATATAGCAGGAAAGGTTTATATAGATGCTGAGCTGCAAAAATATATTTAATTGTAATAGACATCAATTGATACTGCAGCCTAGCATCTTATCACCGTTCTTCTGGTAATAGTGCCACAATTTTCCTCTTGGGAACAACAAGTCTGACTTTTCAGGGTATGGAATTACTGTTGCAATGATTAGTTTAGGAATAAGCATCCAACCTAGTCAAAGCCAATGAGACACAAACTCCTAGGCATGTGGCAGTTTCCATTGGAAGAGAGTGAACCCGAAAGGATATGAGGATTAAGCTGCTCTGTTCACTTTACTATCATCAATAGATTGAGAATGAAGGTACCCCAAAGAACAGAATGGAGCCAGCCTATGCAAAAAGAGGGAGACTGTCCTAGTGACACATTCTGTACATGTAGGTGGTTATGGCCACTGACTGACTTTTGAATATTCATCTCACTTTAGAAGATTAGTCTAAGCTAGTTATGGTGATGCCATTCTTCCTGTAAGTGATTGATTTGGCATTGGGCATGTGATCTAATCCTGGTCAATTAAGCATCATAGTATATCTGCTGGAAGACTTCTGAAAAAAATTTCTTTACTCTTAAGAAAAGAAACAGGAAATAATGTTCCCTTTTCTTTTTTAGGATGATGCTATATCTTTATATGACCTTTGGAATATCTGTAATCATCCTGAGGGCAAAACTTATGTAATGAAGATGGAAGAAGAGAGAATAGGAATACTCTGTGCGCTTTGATCTTATCATTTTGCTGTTGATCATACCATCCCTGGAGTCCTACTTCTGACTCCAAGTTATGAGGTAACAAGTTTCTTTATAGTTAAAGCAATTTGAATCTGGGTTTTCTGTTACTTACAGTTGAAGGCATCTTAAATGGCTTAGCGTTCCCAGACTTAAATTATATAGTATCCCTAGACAATACCGTTATACTTTTAAGTTATATGAAACAATACATTCTCAGGCACTCATTCATCCAACCAGCTCCCATATCAGGAAATGGGACATTACTTCCAGACTTAAAAAATCCAGTATTCAGCTGCAAATAAGGAATAAGGAGCTATCTAAAAAACAAGCATGAGGTAAAAAGGCATCATTCTCATTTGCACTACAAGAAAAAATATATCAGGATTAGTAAATAACTCCCTAAATAAACGCTATCAACAAAGTGATGAGCCTCTTATATTTCCCTCAAAGGAAGAGGTAGGCTTCCGGACTCCAGTCTCTCCACCTCACATGTATTATTTTCCATATACTTTAGATTTCTCTGTCTTAAAGAGGTGATCCTGATATTCAATCTTGTGAGAATAAAAAATAGCATTCTAATCACTTATTTTTAAATTTCATGCATTAATATTAGTTAAGACTATCTTTCAAAATTACCAAAAATTAATATGGTTTACTGCGATCTTTTTAACAATGAAAAGATCTATGATGAATGAAATAGACCTTTCTCTATCTCATTTCCTTTTTCTCCTTGCCACCTCTCAGGACATCCCAGTGTTCTCACGTTCCATCTTCAGTCACACTTCACCAGTGTTAAATCCCTGGTATATGTTCTTCCAAACCATTTTGTATGATACTACAACAATATATAAATATAAACGTAAACATCGGAATTTGGAAGTCCTTCTCACTTTTTAACATAAGTGGGATCATACTCTTTACATTTGTGTGCAACGACACATCTATATATATTTCTAAAACATCTTCTTTATAATTGTATACTATTTCAAGTGATACATAAACACAATGTATTCAACAGTTCTGGTATTGATAGACATTCAAGATTTTCCCCCAGCTATTTTTGCTGTTTCAAACAATGCTGCGATAACAAGTGAATGCAATCCAATTGTGACATTTCTCATTCCATCTATTTTGAGGGTTGATGGTGCCTATTTTGCTGATGAGGTAGGTATCTTTGTCTTCTCTCAATGTTGCCACATTCTTCCTTCTTAATGTTACCTGTCCTGATATAAAAGAACCTTTCCAGATAAAGAAGACTATCTTTTATTTAAGAATATATATGTGCTTTGTCTGGCCTTCCCCCAGTATTTATAAATTTTTAGCAATCTTCCAAGAAGTTATTGAATCAAAAAGAAAATAAGAAAAAATTAACAACAGAGAACTTGAGAAATGATAGCAATGAGGACACAACATATTAAAATGTGCCAGTTACAGCCAGAACTCTATTCAAAGATAAATTTATAGTAATGACTATTTCCCTTAAAAATTAGCCAGAAATTATCATTATAGATAGCCGTGGAAACTTAAAGGAAGTAACTAAAATATGCAGAGACTGATGAAGTGAAAAAATAGAAAATTAGTAGAATATATAGCAAAACATATGTCTAAGTTTTGTGAAAAAATAAAACAATAGGAAAGAAAACTGGCAATACAGAAAAAAGGACCAACAAATGCAAAGGGATTTATAATAGGTTATTTGAAAATATAAAATTGTCATGCAATAATTCACTTGCTCCACAATGTTTATAGAGTGTCTCCTATGTTCCAGACCCTTTCATAGGCACTGCATTACTAGAATGAATTAGATAGACAAGATTCCTGCATTCAAAGTTTTTATTCTAGTGGAGTAAGACAGAAAATAAACAATCTAAAAGACAAGTTCACATAGTGGTAAGTACTACAGAGCAAGAAACACCAAGGTTACGGGGTAGAAGGAGAGAATCTCTGAACAGGTGATATTTGAGTCAAGACCTGAATATGAGAAGCAACCACTTATGGAAAGTTATGAAAATCTCTGGGGGTAAGAAATAGCTCTAGCATGAAGACTTTGAAGTGGAAACAAGCTTGTTACCTTTGAGAATAGAAAAAATGTTAGTATGGCTGTAATATGTAGTAAAAAGGAGACCATATTTGAATCGCAAAAGAGTGAGATCATCTAGAGCACTGCTTCTTCATTCTTTTTTTATTTATTTTTTATTTTTTATTATTATACTTTAAGTTCTAGGGTACATGTGCATAGCGTGCAGGTTTGTTACATATGTATACTTGTGCCATGTTGCTGTGCTGCACCCATCAACTTATTTCACTATTATCCCCTCCCCACTAGATGGCTTTATAAGGATTTTCTTCTTTTTCCTAATTGTCTCCTCATGAAATTTGAATACCAATGATGTACTGTATAATCTAGTCAATAAATGCATGTATATCTGTATTTTATATATAATCAACCTGTATGCAGGATTAAGTATGAATAAAATTTGAAGGTAGTAGTTAAATTAAAAATTAGAAAGCTAGCAATATCTAACTTAACTGTATAAGTGTATTTGCTAAGTGACTTTTAATGGAATGTATTTACTTACATAAATTATAATGTGTCAAAGTATGTATGCAAATTGGCAGTTTATATAAATACATAATAGTGATGTAATCACATTTAAAAAATTATTCACGACATTTTTCTAGAAAAGGTGAAACAATGGAAAACATTAAATTAATTTCTTCAAAGTAATTTTTGTGAATTTAACTTTTCACTTTTGCTTGATATGACAAAATCAGTTGTAACTAGCAGCTAGATATTCATATATTATCATTTTTTCTTTTTAGTACTTGACAGAAATTATGATGGGTTAAATAACTTCTGTAAAGTTAAATATTAACTATTTTTATTTAATTCTCAAAGCCCAAGTCACACACCAGACATCGAGGATCAAACATAGTCACTCAGTGGCAGCCAGTAGGTACACAAAGGCCACTTCTTGACATATGACTTCAAGAATGAGCAATAGATTGAAAGTTCTACAATCAAAGTCATCTATTTGCTATGATTTTGTAGTGCTGGTCTTGCATACATTTCATGTATCTTCCATGAGCTCAATGGCAATGTTCCTGTGATATCGAAGAAAACAAGAGTGATTAAGTTCTAAAGTATAAGATTTTGTCAAATACAGTTGAGCTTTGGAGGACACAAACCATTGTAAAACTTCATATCTTTCCACTTCTCACACCAACAATCATATTTCCCCCTTTTGGGGGCAATATCATTCTGTTTGAGAATGCATGATCTAGCACATGCAGAATAAGGCATGAAGATTGTTTTGTATATTAACTGCAATAAGAAGCCTTTGGAGCATTCTAAGCAGGAGGGTGGCATAATCTGGTTCACATTTTTAAAATATAGTTCGGGGCTATTTATGTGGAGAGTTGAAATACAGGTGAGAAGATCTTAGTTTCCAACAGCCAAATTTATCGAACTTAAGGCCTTATCTTCTTTTTAAAATCCTTTAGTTACTGAGACAGCACCCCTCTCCTTCCATGTTGCCAAAGCATCAGGTTATGTGCTTACTACTGTTGTTTGCAGTTCTTTCTTAATTGTTGGTCCCTGTTGACTTCCCTCACAATATTTAAAGCTCAGCTATACATTTAAAAGGAGGTCTGTCATATTTCATTCAACATTTTAAAGTTTAGCGATTTTTAGCGAAAGAGTTTTCATGTGCCCACTGTTTAGTGTCTTTTAGACTAGTGGTTTTAATTAGCCACTCCTGTGGTCAATCAGTGGTATAGTTTACTTCCTTCAAGACAGAGGCAAGAAGATTTTAGGGGAGTCAGTGGAATCATGCTCCCACTTCGTGAGGTCCCTCTTTAATATGTGCTATTACTTATTTAAACTAGCGAGCTCAGCAACTTATAGTTTATTTCAGATGCCTCCGAAATAGATTTTTAAAAGGACATTAAAGCCACACTGAAAATATCTAACCTCTAACTACAATACATTGCAAATTATTCTCAGGTATATTGTGCAACATATTAACTGCATAAAATTAAAAAATTCCATTTTGTTTCTATGAAGTACTGTGTATAGCATTTGCCAAATAGCACCCTAATTCCCCTGGCTGCATATCTCTCAAAGGCTTTCCTAATTGGTGAGTGTGAGAGGAGTTGGACATGTGAAAAACCATTTTATTTATCTCTTGGGTTTATTTCTTTTGGACAGAAGAGACACTCTAATTCATTCTCAAACGTAGGATAAGCTTTGCGGCCGTATCAGAGAAGTCCATCATTATCCAGTTGTGCTTGTGTTTGGGTGAAATATTAGGAAGTCCTTGAAGCCCCGTATCTAACCATGTCCTCCAGTTCAGCTTTTATTAAATACCAAGGGGGTATTTTGACTTCCAAATGTGTCATTATGGTGCTGTTCTCTCAAATGGTTACAAACTTACAAAGAGTAAAGATTTTTCATTCTTAGTCCTCTGAAACATTAACTGTACATAACTGTAACGTTTTCTTGAGATGTGGTACAATTTCAATCTGAAAGAGAAAGCAAAAATGTTATAGATCTGCTTGAACCTATCATTACCTACCAAAAATAAATATAGGAAATGATTTACTAGGAAATGTACCGTAATCTCTGAGAGGAAAGAAAAACTCTTGGAATTTCACAGTGTCAACTTCCATCTATGTCCAGTAGTGACCTAAGGAAAAGAGTTGGAGGATTCTGACCATATCTCTTTTACTGTGATGAGTGCACGAACCAAGACTGATTAATTGTGTGTGATCCCATCACTGATCATTAATATGAAACTCTCTTACATTTTAACTCATGTATTCTCAGTACCAATAATAGCACATGGGCTTGGGGAATGGGAAATGGGACGTGATATATGTAATGAATTTTGAACAAATCTACTGAAATATAAACATCTGTTCTTTATCCAAACAGAATACAGGTTTAAGCCCTGTCTGAATACTAAGAACTTTTGAACAGCCGTACATTAAATTTTTCACTAACAGTTTTAAATCTGTGACAAACTCCCTTTGTTGGCCCATTGCCAAAATAACATATCAGTGGTTTCCAATATAATGGCTATGGGAGTTATCCAGAGCGGGGAGGCCCAATCTAGGCATTGAGTATAGAGCCCAATTCTGTCATCTATGGTTTTCACTGGGAATTTGTTTCTCTTAAGATCTTCAAAAGAAGACCGGAAAACATGGTGTAGTCCTTGACTCATATTTATCTTCCACTGCACAACATCATCAAATAGGAAAACATGCAGGGTATACCTGAAAACAGCCAGATCCAACTAATTTTCACCATGTCTACTACCACCAGGATACTGAAACCTACCATTATCGGTTACCAAAATAATTGGAATATCCTACTAATTATTCTCCCTTTATTCATCATATACTAATAAAAACTATTCTCCAAGTTGTCAGAGTGATCCTGTAAAACTAAGACAAATCTTGTCTCCCCTCCACTATCAATACATGGATGGGTCTCCATCACATTCCATGTAAAAGCCAAATTGCATTTTGAAACCTACAGGGCTATAAGCTGTCTGCCTCTCTCTCTCATCCCCATTACCTCTCTGAAACCAGCTCCTGCTTTTCTCTGCCTTGCTCACTCAGCTCCAGACATGATAGCATCCTCCTTGCTCCTCAAACATGCCAGCCTAAACCTGTCTTGGGGCCTCAGCACCTGCTGTCCCTCCATCTGGAATGCTCCTTCCCCAGACAGCTACAGGGTGAGTTCTCCCACTGCCTTCAGGTGAGACTCAAAAGCCAAGTTCTCAGTAAGGCCTTCCCTGGACACCTTATCTATCTAGTTTCAGCCTCCCTCCTGAAATTTTCTATCCCAATTCCTTGCTTTATATTTTTCTATTTAACACTAGTCACTATGAATACACATTATAATTGCTTATTCATTTTGGCTACTGTCTATCCCCCACACTAAAATGAAAGCTCCATGAGGATAAGAATTTTGGTTTGCTTCTTTCATTCATTATTACATCATCAATATCTGTGCCTAGAAGAATGCCTGGCAGAGAGCCCACCTGAAGTAAGTATTTGTGGGGTAAAGATAAAACAAGTAAATTAAAAAGCAAATGGGATCAAAGCAAGTCAAAGGGGCAGTGTTTCCAGGGTGTAGCCCCAGTCACAAGTGCAAACGCTTCCAGGGAACAACTGTGCATTTTATTAGTGTGAAGCAGGCCAGCTGGGGGTGTGGCCAACTGGAGAGGGTATTCGGAGTCTAAACTGGACTGGGACCTACCTAAGGCCCAGCTGCATGTATCCTTGTTGGAATGAGGGCCCCAATCCTCACGTTGTTGTTGTTGTTGTTGTTGTTTGTAATTGTTCTGTTTCACTTTCAGGAGATGCCAGAAACATAAATTTTCATTGTGTGCAATCTCCCAAATGTCTAAAGTACTTAATTAAAAACAGAAAACAATGAAAACACAAAGATGAAACAAAATCTGGCAGCTGACTGAGATTGGTCCCTGGGCAGTCAGCTGGTATTTGTTGGACTGAATTGTGTGATGTATACATGAAAATTAATCCCTGCTACGGTGAGGTAGGCTTGCCTTGTGTAATTCTTGAGGCAGTCAGCCTCAGGCCATGTTGGGTGCAGAGAATAAACTCTATTTACCATCTTCTTTCAACTCCTGACAGCTCCTTGCATCTCCCACTATCCATGGAGTTAGGGTAACCTGGGCAACAGGGGTCACCAGCACTCTTTCTTTGGGGTCAGAGGTATAATTTAGTGAAGGGTGTGGTTGCAGAAACTAGTGAGAGGGTTTTCAGATGGGCTACAGGAGAAAGACTGGGGAAAGGCAAGGAGGGGAGGAAGAGAAATATACAGATCTATCTTTGCATCAGACACCATAGTTCTGAGGGACTTTTGGTGGGTTGCTGCTCCCTCTCCCCACCAACCTTGACACTTCCTTGTGATACTGTACAGCTGAATGAGTTATACCAAGTCACAACTTCCAGCCCGACTGCCCCATGGCATCTGCCTCACCTGGAAACAAAGAGCTTCACAGACTTCTATCACAGATTTCTGTGAGCTTGGGTAGGCAAGACTGGCCAACAGGTGCCTGTGAGGGGTATGCAGACACCAGCTTTGTGGGGAAGGTCTAACCAGAATGTGGCTTCTTGGGACAGCAGGTCTCTTTTAGTGGGTCATTGGTTGGAGCCACCTATGGTTTCAGGCAGCTGCTGTAAGAAGCATGGACAGACAAGTACTCCCCATACCGTGGAGAGAAACACTAGGCTCAATCTTCTGATGTACCTTGTCTCTAGATAGAAAACAAACATTCCAGCAGAAGGAACTGGTGTGATGAGACTGCTGCACCTGAGTTCAGTAAGGTTTCCTTTTTTCTGGATAAAGTACTTTCCAAATGCAAGATGGCACATCTCTTAAGTTCTGAGAGCCCCACTGACCCATCCTCTACCAGGATTGCTTATCTAGTGCAGGACAAATGTGAGGAGGCAGCCCACAGCCCAGCACTTGTGGGGCACCATGTTAGTGTGTTTAGGCTGAGGGCTGGGGTTCTCTGGGTGGATGTGTCATGAACTCCCTGAAACAGGAAAAGCCTTATGGGCATAAACTTGGCTCCGGATTAACTTGACTGAGTCATTCCTGTCAGAAAGCTCTTCTAAGGAACCTCCAATGCATCCAGCATCTTTGACAGTTGCCACTTCCTTTGTGCATAGAGCCAGGAAGAGCAATATGGACACTGCCAGAAGTCCAACATTTTCCTTGACCTTCCCATCTCTCATGGGCCCACAACTCTTTTCCTGTATTCCCACTCCCTCTCTCAGTCTTTATTCTTTGAATTCTTTCTTCCTCAGTGGCCCTCTTCTAATCCCTGCAACACCCTAACCCACGCAACTCTTCCTTTGTGTTTCCATTAGCCTCTCCCCAGATCCCTGTCAGGTTGATACTTCTCCCCCTTACTCTGGTCCATCTTCTAAACTTCTTTATGTTCCTCTGTTCTCAATTTATTCTGTCTGTTTTCCTCTAAGCCCCAAGATCTCACTCTCCCTCTGTTAGTCTTCACTCCTTTCCCATTTGGAGGTTTCCTCCTCATAGGTCATCCCCTCCCCCAAGAATCCCCTCCCTTTCTGGCCCTTTTCCACCTTTTCCTAAGCAGTCACCTCCTCCTCTCTCCCCGAGACAGCTAATCTCTTGTTCTTTCCCCTGCCCCTTCCAGACCAGACCAGCTAAGTCTGGTGCCATTTTTAAATGACTGATTATGATTCTAACTGAACTTTATTCACAGCTGAAATTGACAGCTGTTCCTTCCTTTCATGCCCCATCTACCAAACACACCTGATCTTTTCAACAAGACAAAGCGCTTACACACAGCATGTCACGTACACACAAATTTGTATTTTTTAGAACAAAACAACAGTTAATGCTGGCAAAGATGTTGGGTTATCAGGGATTCCATAGGCTTTCAGTACACTGTAAGGTAACTTTTTTTTCATGTCTACAAATTATACATTTGTTTCCACACATGTGCCAAATTTTACCCTAACAGTTAGGACTTTTTCACCAAATCATAGACATAGATATGGAAATCATCATCAAACTTGATGAAATACACAGAGGGTTTGGCTTCCACTTGGTGAATGACCATGCCGATCCTTTTGGAGCCATCTTCTTTGGTATATTCCACATGCTTACCTATCAGGCCATCTACAACTCCTCCTGGCTCCCTCTCTGTTGGAGGAGACTCATTGGATTCTGGCATGATGCGGAGGTCACCTTCCTTATAATCATCTAGAAGCTGGTACATGTACAAGACAGGATCTTTCTCATAGGTAATATAAAACCAGGCTTTCATGATAGGTGCTTGAGCTAAGACCATACCCCTCCATTCATCCTTAGAACCATGCTCTCCCTCAAACATGTGTTCCACTGCTTTGCCAATTATGGTATTTGCAAGGTTGGCATCACTAACGTGAGATGATGCCACCCTGTCAGAAAGAATTTTAAGAGACAAAACTCTTTCATCTCTGTGAAGTTCCAGTCCATAAACACAGTCAATTCCATCATATTTCACCAGATAAAGAGAGGGATTTATAGGCACCTGATCCAGAACGGTTCTTTTCCACTGGGTGATGGGCTCATCTCCTTCTTTCCATCCATGAGAAATTCTGCATCCCACGATGTTCCTGCGGGGCTGGGATGAAGGTCTGCCTCTCTGCTTCTTTTGGGAGACTTTTTTCTTTGTCATGTTTGCAGACCCAGTGGCCCGTCCTGCAGCTGCCCTGGTTTGTTGGGGGTCTTCATGCCTGCTGGGGGAGGAGAGAGGATAGAGAGACATATCCAGTGTGCCACGAGGCAAACTTTTCCCTATAGCCATGTCTGGATATACTCTGCGCTAGTGCCTAAGGTTCCCCTAGGAGCCTGGAAGCAATGCTGGAAATCTGGCTGCATGCCTGCAGTGCTCTCCCTCTTAAGTTCCTTTGGGCTGTGGGGAAAGGCTGGAGTGGTGCAGTAGAGCTGTCTGTGGTTAGGAACTCTGCAGAAGTGGCTGGGCCACGTCCTCCTAGCTCAGAGCCCACTGCCCTCCCGGAACCCCTTGCTGCCACTGGAGTCCACTCCCAATCCCCTGCAAAGCGGCCTTGACCAGCACCCACTACCCTCATGCCCTCTGTGCCCCTGCTGCTGTCCATAACCCCCACTGCCTATCCTAACCACTTCCCTGGTACCTACCTCCCTTGCTTCCTGGGTATCACTTTCAAATCCTTGTCTGGCTCCTATTCCTACCCTTTCCCCTGTTGTCCACCGCACTCCCCCACCCCACCCTTGCCTGGCGCCCACCTCCACCCCCTGTCTCCTGCTGGATTCCTTCCCATCCCCCTCTCCATTCTGGTGCCCACCAATGGCTTTGCCCTGCCTGGCCCCCACCGCTGCGGATCGCGGGCCTCGGGTGCCCAAATCGGACACCTCTCTGCTGCCTCTGCTGTGAGCCTGTGCCGAAGGAGGGTCAACAGGCGATTGACTGTGTGAGTGTTTGCAAGAGCGGGGAGGATAGGATCCGTAGATGAGGAGCGTGTGTAGGAGTGCGGCGAGCCTGGCAAAGAGCACTGCAGCGGTGTCCCCAGCGCTTGGCTGGCTGGCCGTCTGCCTCCTTGTTGGCGGCGGCCGCCCCTCAGCCACATGGGGCTGCCACCTTTCCCTGCTGCAGTGGCTGTAGTCTCTGCCCTTTTTCTGCACAAGACCGCAGTGTTAGTTTCCCCTTAGTACTGATGTCTTCCCTTCTTCTAAACACAGAGTAGGTCTTCCTTTCTTTCCCTGGGGCCCCTCCTGGGCTCCTCCTTCCCTTTCCACAGTTCACAGCAGTGGAACCTGTAGGTGGCCTTTTCTCTCTTCCTGTCTCTGCTCACTGAATCCTTCAAGCTCTCTAGCTCCTCCCCTCAGGTCTCCTGCTCCATCTGTTTTCCATCTTTCAGACATTTCTCACATTCTTTGGAAACCTACCAATTAACATAGAAATACCATGTGTATACACTTATGGCGACATGAATCCATTACGACCATACGCAAATGTGTAGCATACATACTCGCGAATACATATATTAAGTGTTTCTCCACAGCATTGTGTAGGCATATTTTAGATTTAGAGACATGGTTTATTTTAAACTTAAAGAGTTATTTTTGAATGTGATTACAATACTTAACAAACTTTATCTATTCCGCATAAAGTGACATCATTTAAATTTTTTTTTTGTGAGTCATAGTTTTTCACAGTATCCTATAATTCTGAAAATAATCAACAATATTAGGTTGCTATATCAAGTAAGATGTTTTCAGTTACATGTTTTAGGATAATAAACCAAATGGGTATACAATAAAAACAATGTATTGACTAACATATTAAAAAGTTAAAAAAAAAAAAAAGTTAAATAGGTGTTAGGTTAATCTTAATCTATGGTGGAATAATATTTTATTATATATATATATCACATTTTTTAATCCATTTATTTATTGATGGACAGTTAAGTTGATTCCATATCTTGTCTATTGTGATCAGTGCTGCAAATAAATATGTGAGTGCAGATAGCTCGTTGATATGCTGATTTCCTTTCTTTTGGATATATAACCAATAGTGAGATTGCTGGATCTTATGGAATTTTTAGTTTTAGTTTTTGAGGAACTACCACACTGTTTTTCATAATGGTTATGCTAATTTATATTCCCACTAACAATGTCCAAGGATACCCCTTTCTTCACTTCCTTACCAACAGTTTTTATTTTCTGTGTTTTTGATATAGCCATTTTAACTGGGGTGAAATGGTATCTCATTGCTATTTTGATATAAAATTACCTGATGATTAGTGATTTAGAACACTTTGTATATATCTGTTGTCCATTTGTATGTCTTAGTTTGAGAAATGTCTACTCAGCTCTTTTGCCCATTTTTAAATCAGATTGTTTGATTTTTTACTATTGGGTTGTTGGAATTTCTTACATATTTTTATTATTAATCCCCTGCCAGTTGAATACTTTGCAAATATTTTCTCTTGTTATCTAGGTTGTCTCTTCATTTTATGATTGTTTCCTTTGCTGTGCAGAAGTTTTTTAGCTGATGTGATTTCATTTTCCCATTTTTCCTTTGGTTGCCTGTGCTTTGAGGTCTTACTCAAGAAATCATTGCACAGACCAATATTCGGAAGCTTTTCCCCAAAGTTTTCTTCTAGTCACTTCATAATTTTGGATCTTAGATTTATGTCTTTAATCCATTTTGATTTGGGTGTTGTATATGGTGAGAGATAGATGTGTCTAGTTTCATTCTTCTGTGTATGGATACCCAGTTTTCCCAACAACATTTATTACAGAGGCTGTCTTTACTATAGTGTGTGTTCTTGGCTCTTTTGTTGAAAATAAGTTGACTATAAATGCATAGATTTATTTATGAGTTCTCTATTTTGTTTCATTGGTCCAGGTGTCTATTCATATGCCAGTACCATGCTGTTTTGGTTACCATAAGTTTATAGTATAATTTGAAGTAAGGCAATTTGATGCCCCAGCTTAGTTCTTTTTCTTCAGGATTGCTTTGACCATTCTTATCCTTTTGTAGTTCCATATGAATTTTAGGACTGTTTATTTTCTGTTTCCATAAAGAATGTCTTTGGTATTTTGACATAGATTGTGTTTATGTATATGTAGATAACTTGGAGTAGTATGGACATTTTAACAATGTTAATTAGTCCAACTCATGAACATGGATATTTTTCTATTTTTGTGTGGTCTTTATTTTTTATCCATGTTTTATAATTTTTATTGCAGACATCTTTCATTTCTTTGGTTTAGTTTATTTCTAGGTATTTTATATTTTGTAGTCATTGTAAAAAGGATTGCTTTCTTTATTTCTTTTTTACATTTTTCACAGTTGGCATTTAGAAATGCTACTGATTTTTATATGTTGATTTTATAAATAAAATCAGTTTCTTAGTTCCAATTCGTTTTTGGTGGGGTCTTTAGATTTTTTCTAAATATAAAATCATATTATCTGCAAATAAAGACAATTTAACTTCTTCCTTCCCAATTTGGGTGTTGTTTCTTTCTCTTAACTAATTGTTCTTGTTGGAATTTCCAGTACTATGTTGAATAAAAGTGGTGAAAGCACCGTGGAATACTACACAGCCACCAAAAAGAATAAAATCATGCCCTTTTCAGCATCATGGATGCAGCTGAAGGCTATTATCCTACGTGAATGAATGCAGAAACAGAAAATCTAATACTGCATGTTGTCACTTATAAACGGGAGGCAAAAAATGGATGCATATGGACATAAAGGTATAAATAATGGACACTAGGATTTCCAAAAAGGGGGAGGAAGAGAGGAATGATTGAAAAACTACCTATTGAGTACTATGTTAGCTATCTGGGTGATGGGTTCAGTAGAAGCCCAAACCCCAGCATTATGCAGTATATTTATGGAACAAGCCCACACATGTACCCCATGAAAATAATATTTTTTGTGTGGTAAAAGCTGTTATTTTGTCTTTTTCCAGGTCATAGACAAAGGGCTTTCAGGTTTTTTCCCATTTAATATGATGCTAGCTGTGTTTGCCATACATGACCTTTATTCTTTTGAGATATGCTCCTTCTATATCCATTTTGTTGAGAGTTTTTTTCATGAAACGATGTTAAATTTCATTGAATTTTTTTTGGCATCTATTGAAATGCCCTTATGGTTTTGGTACTTTATTCTATTTATGTGATATATCGCATTTATTGATTTGTGTATGTTGAACCATCATTGCATCCCTAACATTAATCCTACTTGATCATACGAATGATCTTTTAAATTTGTTGTTGGATTCAGTTTGCTAGCATTTCGTTGAGGATTTTGCATGTATGTTTATTGGTAATATTGGCCTACAATTTTCTCTTTTGGGGTGTCTTTGGTTATGGTATCTGAATAAGGCTAGCCTTCCAGGATGAGTTTGGAAGCATTCCCTCCTATTTGATATTTTGGAATGATTTGAGTAGGATTTGTATTAGTTCTTCCTTAAATTTTTGGTAGAATTCAGCAGTGTAGCCACAAGATCCTGGGCTTTTCATTGATGGGAGACATTTTATTACCATTGTTATCTCATTACCTATTATTGGTCTGTTCAGGTTTTCTATTTCTTTATGATTCAATCTTGGTAGATTGTATGTGTCTAGGAATTTACCCATTTCTTCTAGGTTTTAAAATTTATTGGCACTGCTCATAATCATCTGTAATAATCTTTTTATTTTCTGTGGTATTACTTGTAATGTCTCATTTTTCTTCTTTTTTTTTTTTAATGTTACTTTAAGTTCCAGGATACAACTGCAGAATGTGTAGGTTTGTTACATAGGTATATGTGTGTCATGGTGGTTTGCTGCACCTGTCAACCTGTCATCTAGGTTTTAAGTTCCACATGCATTAGCTATTTGTCCTAATGCTCTCCCTCCACTTGCCCCCAACACCCCAGTCTAATTTTTCATCTGTCATTTTATTTGAGTCTTCTCTTAGTCTGGCTGAAGGTTTGTAGATTTTTGTCATGTTTTCAAAAAGCCAACTTTTTGTTTAATTGATCTGTTGTATTGTCTTTCAGTTTCAATTTTATTTCTGCTCCAATTTTTATTATTTATTCTACTAATTCAAGGTTTGATTTGTTCTTGATTTTCTACTTCTTTAAGGTGCATTTTTAGGTTGTTTATTTAAAGTTTTTATGCTTCTCTTGACTTAGGCATTTATTGCTACAATCTTTCCTCTTAGTATTGCTTTTGCTGTGTCCTCTAGGTTTTGGTATGTTGTGCTTTAATTTTCATTTGTTTCAGGAAACTTTAAAAATTTCCTTCTTAATTTCTTCCTTGACCCATTGGTCATTTAGGAGCCTGTT